GGTCTCACGGCTCTGAACTCCCACCCATAGAGCCCCCGACACTCCGATTATCCCAGGATGCGAACACGGGAACTGTACGCCTAATAATGATTTTTATTATATACCAAATAAAGACAACCAGACAAAGTAAAACAAACATTCAGTACATCTCTGCAACAAATGCACATATTTGTTGTCTTGTCTCCGCCCCCTCCTGTAGACCACTCACTGCTGCGCTCTCTCCTTTTGCAGGGTGACTGGTCTTTACTCCGCCCCTCCTGTGATAAAGACCACCCGCTGCTGCTCACTCTCCTTGTACAGGGTAACTGTTCAAGTCTCCGCCCCCTCCTGTAATAAAGACCGGTCACTGCTGCCCTCTCTTTGTCCAGGGTGACTGGTCTGGTCTACGCCCCCTCCTGTAATAAAGACAAGTAACTACTGCCCTCTCTCCTTGTGCAGGGTGACTGGTCTTGTCTCCGCCCCTCCTGTAATAAAGACCGGTCACTGCTGCTCTCTCTCTCCTTGTGCAGGGTGACCGGTCCCATCTTCGCCCCCCTCCTGTAATAAAGACCGCTCACTACTGCTTTCTCTCCTTGTGCAGGGTGACTGGTCTGGTCTCCGCCCCCTCCGGTACTTTTCTGCAGTGGGTGGGGGTTGAGTTTATTTGTGGATTAGGTCGTCTCTTCATCCTTTCCTATACATAATCCAATGTTTGTACTCCCGTCGATCAGATTAGGGGCCAGCGATCATTTATAAAGGCTCTTCTTCAAGGTCATGCATGCCGTGGCGTGTTTCTTACTGCATTACAAAGAGGTTTCCAGTCCCCTTTGCCGACAAGCGAGGTCGAGCGCTGGAGAAACTCTGCGCACCGCTCGTGTGCTACCCTCGCGCCGGTAAGCCAAAGGTGATGCCCAAGGGCTCGGCGCAGCCTACGCCTGGCTGCTGATTTTAATTAGCAGATAACGAACAAATGTCAATGTGACTCTAAAAATAATTTTTTAATTACAAGGAAGAATACGAGCGGGAATGGCTGCGCTGCCGGACCCGCTCCTGGCTCTGTGCGATAACGCATCCCAGCGGCACGCAGTAATGGCGGCTCCTTCGGGGGAACGGGACCCTTTGTGGAGTGACAGGCAGACAGGGTTGGATTGTTTCACACGGTCCCCGAGAGGCCGCGAAAATGGATTCAACCACCTAAATGGAGCTGCAGAGGCGGTGAGAATGTGAGACAATCGGGCCGTTCTGCTCCAGAATCGGGGGAAGAAAGCCGCCAGCTTACAGGATGAAGAGATAAGGACTCCAACGGGGGGGAACCATCGGCTGGGTCACCATCAAAAGTCCCTACAAAAAAAAAAGTATGCCAAAAAGTAACAAAAAAGTAATGATTTCATACTTCATTTTATATTTCCTCGTATGACTTTTTATTGCTTGCCACGTCCAGCCAGCAGGGGGAGCTCTAAAGTCTGAAATATCTTAACAGTTCTTTATTATGCTGTAAAATGATGTCATTTCAGCCTATTTTTTTTAATAGTCAAAACACACACAGGTGGAACCATCAAAGGAGTGACCATCCTCCCGCCTTTCAATCTGGAATGTCAATTAGAGAGATACAGCCCACAAGTGTGCAGTTGCAGGACCGTCAATTTAAAAAGCCTAAATTGCTCTGCATGGCTTGTGAAAGCTGAACTCCAAGCAAAGAGCCAACGACACAGATTTACATACATACACTATATTGCCGAAAGTATTGAGACACCCCTCCAAATCATGTGATTCAGGTGTTCCAATCCCCTCCATGGCCACAGGTGTATAAAATCACTCACCTCGGCATGCAGACGCTTCTACAGACATTGGTGGAAGAACGGGTCGCTCACAGGAGCTCAGTGACTACAAGCGTGGTACCGCGATAGGTTGTCACCTGCGCAATAAGTCCGTCCGTGTCATTTCCCGGCTACTAAATATTCCGCCGCGGTCGCCTGTTACTGAAGGGGTTGTTTCTCAGGGGTTGGGTTCCGCCCCTTAGTTCCCGTGAAGGGAACTCTTACGGCATCAGCACACCAAGACATTTTGGACAATTTCATGCTCCCAACTTTGAGGGAGGAGTTTGGGGACGGCCCCTTCCTGTTCCAACATGACTGCGCACCAGTGCACAAAGCAAGGTCAATAAAAGACATGGGTGGGGGAGTTTGGGGGGGAGGAACGTGACTGGCCGCACAGAGTCCTGACCTCAACCCCATAGAACACCTTTGGGATGAATTAGAGCGGAGACTGCGAGCTCCTCCCCCAACATCAGTACCTGACCTC